TCTTCTTTGGAATGGGGTATGGTCGATCGTTTATTTTTGGTGGTAATTTTTCTTATAAACCAACTGGTACATATTGGTATTAAAACCCTAATGCTTCTCAAAGAAAACGTTCGGTGAGGGGTTGCCAATAGCAGTGCTCAGCAGGCCGCGTCAGCCAGCTGATCTGAATGCATCTGTCTGTCACAGTCCACTGCACCGGCTGCGGAGACTGCGGCGCTGAAAAATATTTTTTTTTCGGGCCAGGGGTGCCATTCATTTTAGAAAAGGTAATAACACCAAATAAAAAAAAAAAAACCAAGTGTAAAATTCAAAGAACCCCTCCCCTTTCTTTGAATTTTACACCGATCCTCTTTTACACATGTGGAATCAGTGTAAATCACCCGGTGTAAAAATCACCTACCCCATACAATATTCTCAGGATTGCCCTTTGGAGACCTAAAGTTGAGAAAGATGATGGTATGATTGATTTTTGGTAAACAGTCCAGAAAGTACTTACTTGTGATGATGTTGTCTGCGTAGTGAGGTAGTGAATCCAAAATCAAAGAGAATTTTCAGAGTTGCACAAAGAACACATACTTACAGACCAAATGGTGAGAATAATTTTTTCGTTTGGGAAATCTCCAATACATTTCTGTTTCAATTTTCAGGATGTTTGTAAAGCACCTTTAAAGATATATGGTGGAATTGGAGTATTTTTCCCATCTAGAGTAATCACTTACAACTTCTCATTTCAACCAAGCAAGATTTTATCCAATATAACAACAAATAAAGAGGCATAAGCTTAAAAGTGACTTTGAAAAGAATATGGACCTGGGAGATGCATGTCAGCAAAATCACTGGACATCCTTGTGAGATATAAGTTTGGTGTAGTAGTTCAAAGTACAAGAGCATGTTCTTGATAACAAGGCCTGAACTGGCACGGTAGTAAATAGTTCAACTTGGATGATCACTGGGAAGATGGGCTGAGAAATGAGGAAATAGCAATACTCTTATTATGTGGTAACCAATTTGCAGTGATTGCTCAAATTACAGCGCTTCAAGAATCCTTCGGTTTATTTGGTGGTCTTTTTTTTAAAGTTTTGGACAAAACTCGGAAAAAACTCATTTGGACAGTTCAAATTTGACAGATTCTAGTACAAAATCAGTTTCACCGAGGGTTTTAGCGAGGGTTTTGGACATTTATTTCGTTTTCATGCGTTAAAAAAACCAAAGGATTCTTGAAGCACTGTACTATTTGAGCAATCAGATTCCACTTGGTGTAATATGTGATACAAACTGCACCACAAAACCACTATAAAAAACACCAATATCATTGGTAACATACAACAGTTTGGAGTT